ACCCAGGGATGTACGTGATTTTAAATATGAACCTGGTGAGAAACATACTCCATCGAGCCTGGCGAGGGTTCAGTCTCCTCGCTGCCCGGATGTACTCCAGGTTCCGATGGTCAGTCAAAATGAGGAAAGGGTGTTGAGCCCCCTCAAGCCAATGCCTCCACACCTTAAGGGCTTGAACTACAGCTAACAGCTCCCTGTCCCCAACGTCATAGTTACGCTCCGCCGGGCTGAGCTTTTTGGAGTAAAAAGCACAGGGGCGGAGTTTAGGTGGCGAGCCGGACCGTTGAGAGAGAACGGCCCCTATACCAGCCTCAGACGCGTCCACCTCAACCTGAAATGGAATTGTGGGATCCGGATGCGCCAGCACCGGAGCCGACGTAAACAGGTCCTTCAGTCTCCCAAAGGCCCTGTCCGCATCAGCTGACCACTGCAGGCGCACCGGACCCCCCTTCAGAAGGGACGTGATGGGAGCTGCCACCTGTCCAAAACCCCGGATAAACCTCCGGTAGTAATTCGCAAAGCCCAAGAACTGCTGCACCTCTTTTACAGTGGTTGGAGTTTGCCAATTACGCACAGTGGACACACAATCCACCTCCATTCTCACCCCTGACGCGGACAACCGATAACCCAAAAAGGAGACCGACTCCTGGAAAAACAGACATTTCTCTGCCTTGACATATAGGTCGTGCTCCAACAGCCTCCTCAATACACGTCGCACAAGGGTTATATGCTCGGCTCGGGTAGACGAGTACACCAGAATATCATCAATGTACACGACCACCCCTTGTCCCTGCATATCCCGGAAAATGTCATCTACGAAGGATTGGAAGACTGATGGAGCATTCATCAACCCATATGGCATGACAAGATACTCGAAATGACCTGACGTGGTACTAAACGCCGTTTTCCATTCATCGCCCTCCCTAATGCGCACCAAGTTATACGCGCTCCTGAGATCCAATTTTGTGAAAAACCGCGCCCCATGCAATGACTCCGTCATGGTCGCAATCAGAGGGAGTGGATAACTGTATTTCACAGTAATCTGATTGAGACCACGGTAATCAATGCACGGGCGCAACCCTCCATCTTTCTTTTTCACAAAAAAGAAACTCGAAGAGGCGGGGGAAATGGAAGGCCGAATGTATCCCTGTCTCAAAGATTCGGCTATGTAAGTCTCCATAGCTTTCCTCTCCTCTTGAGACAAAGGATACACATGGCTCCGTGGGAGCGCTGCTCCTGCCTGGAGATCAATCGCACAATCCCCCTGTCTATGAGGAGGCAACTGTGTCGCCCTAGTTTTACTACTAGCGCCTTATGCTGGGAATGAGGTGCAACCTGTGGAAAACCAACAGGTATACAAAAGTGCGCAACAGAAAGCTCTGGGTAAGCGGGGCGTCTACTCACCTGGGAGGCCCCCCCAGTGCGTGGCCTGTTGTCCTCTCCCTCGGAGAACCCTCCCCAGCACCTGGCCGCAGTGTGCCCTCCACGACCGCACTTGGTGCAGGTGACAGGCCCCCTCGGGCTCTTCCTCCTCCGCTCTCTAGCGCCAGCGCCCCCGAGCTCCATGGGGCACGGCTCAGAGGCGCTGGAGGGTGAAATGGACGGACCCCCCTCGGAACGTCCGCGGGTAGCTAGCAGGTTATCCAGCCTGATGGACATGTCGACCAACTGGTCGAACGAGAGGCTGGTGTCCCTACAGGCCAGCTCCCGACGGACGTCCTCGCGAAGACTACATCTGTAGTGATCGACGAGAGCCCGCTCATTCCACCCTGCATCTGCCGCTAGAGTACGGAATTCTAGGGCGAACTCCTGGGCACTCCTCCTCCCCTGCCGGAGGAAGACCAGACGCTCCCCCGCCGCTTTCCCCTCCGGGGGATGGTCAAACACCGCCCTGAAGCGGCGGGAGAACTCGTCGTTGGTGATGGTATCCGCGTCGATCCTCCTCCACTCCGCGTTGGCCCATTCCAACGCCTTCCCGGAAAGGCAGGAGATCAGGGCGGACACGCTCTCATGTCCCGAGGGTGCCGGGTGCACGGTGGCCAGGTACAGCTCCACCTGGAGAAGGAATCCCTGACACCCGGCCGCGGTCCCATCGTAGGCCCTCGGGAGCGAGAGTCGAACTCCTCGGGGTTCCGGAACGGGAATGGGCTGACTGGCCGATGGTGCTGGCAGGGAGGATGGCGGTGGAGGAGTCCCCCAGCCTCGGATGGTGGTGATCACCTCCTGCAGTGCGGACCCCATCTGCAGGATCTGGTCACTTTGTTCCCGGACCTTGTCCTCCAGCGTCGCCTGGGCTGCTGCGGCTCCTGCTGATTCCATTCTTTATGGTGTGTGATTCTGTCAAGAATGCTGTAGGTGGGTGTAGTGGTGGAATCAAGCGCAGGACACCGAAGTATAGTCCAAAAGACTTTAGTTCAAATTCCAACAAGGAAAATACGAACAAAACTTGCCCGAAGGCGAAACTACGCACGAAGGCGACACAAACAAAAGGCGCACTAAACATGTGCGTAAACGCTCCAACACAGTGGAGTGAAACTCAACCGAGCGAAAATACAAGCATAACACACGACAGAAAATAATCACACACAAACACAGACACACCCAACGAGACTTAAATAGAACACTAATGAGGACTAACTAGACACAGGTGTACAACATCAAGACCAAACCAAACGAACATGAAACATAGATCGGTGGCAGCTAGTACTCCGGGGACGACGACCGCCGATGCCTGCCCGAACCAGGAGGAGGAGCAGCCTCGGCCGAAACCGTGACATTAACTGACTTGCCAAAACTATATTTTGTTAACAAGAAATTTGTGGAGTGGTTGAAAAACTAGTTTTAATGACTCCAACCTAAGTGTATGTAAACTTCCTACTTCAACTGTACCTACTCTGTAAATTAGCTTGTTGTGCTAGAAAGTAATAAAAACCAGTTGAGAAAAAGGTAACTAAAAAAAAAGTGTTTTATTATGTTCTGAATAAATGTCTTTCTCCTGTCTTGAATGTAGAAGTTCTATTTTGCTATATCCCAAAAATAAATACGATCTCTTTGAGGAGATGTTCAGTCAGTGAATCAGGTAATCTCCATGGTAACCAGAAACTCTTTCTGCCATACATGAATTCAAACTACCGTAAACCCCCTTAATAAGTATGCCCTTACCTAAAGAAAACTCTTAAACAATTACCTTAGGTAAGGGGAAAGGATTACTTAAGGGAAAGACTTAAGATGTTTTATGCAACCGGGCCCAGGACTTATTCTTGACCATGTGATTTGACCAGGAAAAACTCTGGGGCCTAACTATAGTACAGTGAGGGAAAAAAGTATTTGATCCCCTGCTGATTTTGTACGTTTGCCCACTGACAAAGAAATGATCAGTCTATAATTTTAATGGTAGGTTTATTTGAACAGTGAGAGACAGAATAACAACAAAAAAATCCAGAAAAACGCATGTCAAAAATGTTATAAATTGATTTGCATTTTAGTGAGGGAAATAAGTATTTGACCCCTCTGCAAAACATGACTTAGTACTTGGTGGCAAAACCCTTGTTGGCAATCACAGAGGTCAGACGTTTCTTGTAGTTGGCCACCAGGTTTGCACACATCTCAGGAGGGATTTTGTCCCACTCCTCTTTGCAAATCTTCTCCAAGTCATTAAGGTTTCGAGCCTGACGTTTGGCAACTCGAACCTTCAGCTCCCTCCACAGATTTTCTATGGGATTAAGGTCTGGAGACAGGCTAGGCCACTCCAGGACCTTAATGTGCTTCTTCATGAGCCACTCCTTTGTTGCCTTGGCCGTGTGTTTTGGGTCATTGTCATGCATATTTTACCCATCCACGACCCATTTTCAGTCATTTTCAGTGCAGGATTTCAGTCCTTCACGGCTTAGTGTGTTACCAATTGTTTTCTTGGTGACTATGGTCCCAGCTCCCTTGAGATCAGTGACAAGATCCTCCCGTCTAGTTCTGTGCTGATTCCTCACCGTTCTCATGATCATTGCAACTCCACGAGGTGAGATCTTGCATGGAGCCCCAGGCCGAGGGAGATTGACAGTTCTTTTGTGTTTCTTCCATTTGCGAATAATCGCACCAACTGTTGTCACCTTCTCACCAAGCTGCTTGGTGATGGTCTTGTAGCCCATTCCAGCCTTGTGTAGGTCTACAATCTTGTCCCTGACATCCTTGGAGAGCTCTTTGGTCTTGGCCATGGTGGAGAGTTTGGAATCTGATTGATTGATTGCTTCTGTGGACAGGTGTCTTTTATACAGGTAACAAACTGAGATTAGGAGCACTCCCTTTAAGAGTGTGCTCCTAATCTCAGCTCGTTACCTGTATAAAAGACACCTGGGAGCCAGAAATTGTCCTCCCGAGTGGCGCAGTGGTCTAAAGCACTGCATCGCAGTGCTAGTTGTGCCACTAGAGATCCTGGTTCAAATCCAGGCTCTGTCGTAGCTGGCCGTGACCGGGAGACCCATGGGGCGACGCACAATTGGCCCAGTGTCGTCCAGGGTAGGGGAGGGAATGGCCGTCAGGGATGTAGCTCAGTTGGTAGAGCATGGCATTTGCAACGCCAGGGTTGTAGGTTCGATTCCAGTATAACAAATAAAAATGTATGCACTCACTAACTGTAAGCCGCTCTGGATCAGAGTGTCTGCTAAATGACAAAAATGTAAATGTAGAAGTCTTTCTGATTGAGAGGGGGTCAAATACTTATTTCCCTCATTAAAATGCAAATCAATTTATAACATTTTTGACATGCGTTTTTCTGGATCTTTTGGTTGTTATTCTGTCTCTCACTGTTCAAATAAACTTACCATTAAAATTATATTCTGATAATTTCTTTGTCAGTGGGCAAACGTAGAAAATCAGCAGGGGATCAAATACTTTTTTCCCTCACTGTATATTGATTAGAGGACATGTTGTTCTGCTTCTCCCTTACTGTACATCTCCCTCGGCTAGGCCCTCAACACTCCCACAGACACACAGGTCAGTGGTACCTTCTGTTTGCATTCACGGACGACGAGGCAGATGAACACCAGCAGCAGGATGGCCCCCAGACCAACAATGATGAGAGGGAAGTTGGACACCAACGTCACCATCAGCAACAGCTTTTGGAGCTTCGCAGCCGACGTGTCGTCTATCACCACCGTCTGAAGAAGGGGGTAAAGAAGGTGCATAACATATCAGTAGAGAGAGTAGACACTGTAAACTCACTGACAGTCTACTATCTGGGGGTGTCACTCACAGCACAATGCTCTGTAACGTGATACAGTACAATCGAAAAGGACAAAGTTGTCATTGCAAATTTGCGATCAATGCTCAGATTAAAACATATTTTCTGATTTCAAATTTCATATTCTCCCAAAGTTGTATGTTTTTGTGGAGTTGATGTGATCTTCTTACCTCATTGATAAACATGACAGGGAAGATGGTCTCATTCAGGGATTTGGTTTTCCTGTGAAGGAGAAGAGATTGTAAGAAAATCATTAAACAAAGGAAGGAAATAATATAGAAATAATAAAGAGTATATCAGTAGTTGAACTTGGTGGTTGTAATATGGAAATCATTAAACAATGGAAGGAAATCATATAAAAACAAAGATTATAAAAGCCTTTAGCTATTTGAACTTGGGTTGTGGTTGTGGATTTGTGATATCTCACGGGAAGCCAGAGATTCTGTTGATGAGGATGTTGATCTGAGCCCTCTTACTGGCACGGATAGGAATACCAGTGGTCTGGAAGTGTAGAATAACACATACACACTTGATGAGCCATGTGAACTGCAGGTGTAACGCTCAATGTACTGGATACATGATTTATATCTAGGTTAAACATGAATAAAAATAGGCTGGTAGGTTGGGAACATTATTTCATATTTTACAGTTGGTGCAATTCTCTATTCCACAAATGTAGCACTAGATGGTGCAACAATGCATTTTAAAGTAAATTATCTATTATACTCTAGGGCAGGCCCCAGAGAAGTGAATGCTAGAGGTTTGTGTACCGGGTTCAGGTCCAGGTAGGTCTGGTGGTGATCTCTCACAGGATTCAGTCCTTCAATGGCGTTAGAGTACTTCTCTTCGCCCAGGTAGAAATGAGGAAAGGACGCCACCACTGGAGCACCTGGAAAGGGAGGAGAAGTTAAGTGACTGGATACTGGGAGAAACTCTGTGATGATGGGAAAAATGAGAGGCTGTTCAAGCTCAGTGAGGAAGAAATCAAATGTGATTGGATCCTCTTGTTTGAAATATATAAGCAGAATATGTAAAATGTGAATGGGCAGAAAAAGAAACAAACCCTTGAGGTGCAGCTAATACTACCGCAACACACAAGACCAATAAAACCACAACCTGAACAGTGTAGTTCTCAGGTGGTAGGGGCCTAAATACGCAGCACTGTTATCATTCACCAGAGCAACTACAAAACAACAAAAGGGTTAAGACAAAACAGCAGTTGGCCTCTAACTTCCCAGCTTACTGAGAAGAGACCTCCAACTGGGCACACACTGGTTGAATAAACGTTGTTATCAAGTAATTTCAATGAAGGAGGCTTTGTCCTTGAAAGAGTGTTGTGATAGGATATGTCCCTCTCCCCTCAGAGCACGGCTAGTCATTCTATAGGTTCTATAGTTGCCATGGCGCCTAGTGGCAGCCTAAGCAGAGAACTCATGTAAATTCTGTACATATTTAATTATATTTAATCATTTTCATGTACATTTTTATTTCTCAGTAGCTAAATGAGTGCAGATCAAGTCTTGATATCATGAATTGGATTCCTGCCCATAAATTGATGAAAATCAGCGTTGTCAACAAGCTAGTTAATGCTTGTTAGCCAGTGTGTGTTTTAATTTGAATTACATCTACTGACATTGGGTTGTTTTTCACCAACGGTGAGGAGGAGGATATGCATGCAGAGTTGGCATTGGGCCAGCTTTTTCATTGCTCAGGAGGATACTTCTGAAGTAAGGAGTGGGCTGTACTCTGTGGGGAGCTCAAACTTAATCACAGAGTCCCAATAATGAGTATCTGCAGACGGCGGAGACACCCTGATGACATCGAGCTGCCTGCCTGCCCTTGCACATGCTGACCACCACCTCCGACCACCACCTACGCTGTCAATCTAGCTGTGAGCTTCTGGATCTTCTCATGACCACAGCTGTCCATCTGGAGGCTTCAAGAAGCACTCAGACTTGATCTAGCTATTGTTGTTTCTGTGGGTCAGGAGAATATTCCATCAACGAAACCCTAAACATACACAGAACAAGGTCGCCATGTTCTCAAAATATATTTACATTTGACATTTTATTCATTTAGCAGACACTCTTATCCAGATATATGATATTAATGTTCAAGACACACTTCATGGGAACGTTGCAGGAACATTTCTGTGTATCAGTTGTCAGGATGACGTCATGTGATGTGCCAAATAAACAAAATCATTACACATCACACCTTGTTTCTGTTGCCAAGCTAATCAAAGTCCTGATTGGTGAACCACTGATAGCTCTTTGTCTAGTTAGGGACACTTTCACAAACAGTGCTTTTAACATACATTGTTTTCAACTTACATATTTGACATTGATGATTACGTTGTGCACATTCATTTACAGTTGAAGTCGGAAGTTTACATACACTTAGGTTGGAGTCAGTAAAACTCGTTTTTCAACCACTCCACACATTTCTTGTTAGCAAACTATAGTTTTGGCAAGTCAGTTAGGACATCTACTTTGTGCATGACACAAGTAATTTTTCCAACAATTGTTTGCAGACAGATTATTTCACTTATAATTCACTGTATCACAATTCCAGTGTGTCAGAAGTTTAAATACACTAAGTTGACTGTGCCTTTAAACAGCTTGGAAAATTCCAGAAAATGATGCCATGGCTTTAGAAGCTTTTGATAGGCTAATTGACATCATTTGAGTCAATTGGAGGTGTACCTGTGGATGTATTTCAAGGCCTACCTTCAAACTCAGTGCCTCTTTGCTTGACATCATGGGAAAATCAGCCAAGACCTCAACAAAAATTTTTTGTAGACCTCCACAAGTCTGGTTCATCCTTGGGAGCAATTTCCAAACGCCTGAAGGTACCACGTTCATCTGTACAAACAATAGTACGCAAGTATAAGCACCATGGGACCACGCAGCCGTCATACCGCTCAGGAAGGAGACGCGTTTTGTCTCCTAGAGATGAACGTACTTTGGTGCGAAAAGTGCAAATCAATCCCAGAACAACAGCAAAGGACCTTGTGAGGATGCTGGTGGAAACAGGTACAAAAGTATCTATATCCACAGTAAAACGAGTCCTATATCAACATAACCTGAAAGGCCGCTCAGCAAGGAAGGAGCCAATGCTCCAAAACCATCATAAAAAATCCAGTCTATAGTTTGCAACTGCACATGGGGACAAAGATCATTCTTTTTGGAGAAATGTCCTCTGGTCTGATGGATAAAAAATATAACTGTTTGGCCATAATGACCATCGTTATGTTTGGAGTAAAAAGGGGTAGCTTGCAAGCCGAAGAACACCATCCCAACCGTGAAGCACGGGGTGGCAGCATCATGCTGTGGGGGTGCTTTGCTGCAGGAGGGACTGGTGCACTTCACAAAATAGATGGCATCATGAGAAACGAAAATTATTTGGATATACTGGCGCAACATCTCAAGTCATCAGTCAGGAAGTTAAAGCTTGGTCGCAAATGGGTCTTCCAAATGGACAATGACCCCAAGCATACTTCCAAAGTTGTGGCAAAATGGCTTAAGGACAACAAAGTCAAGGTATTGGAGTGGCCATCACAAAGCCCTGACCTCAATCTTACAGAACATTTGTGGGCAGAACTGAAAAAGCGTGTGCAAGCAAGGAGGCCTACAAACCTTACTCAGTTACACCAGCTTTGTCAGGAGGAATGGGCCAAAATTCCCCAAATGTATTGTGAGAAGCTTGTTTAAGGCTACCCGAAACGTTTGACCCAAGTTAAACAATTGAAAGGCAATGCTACCAAATACTAATTGAGTGTATGTAAACTTCTGACCCACTGGGAATGTGATGAAAGAAATAATAGCTGAAATAAATCATTCTCTCTACTATTATTCTGACATTTCACATTCTTAAAATAAAGTGGTGATCCTAACTGACCTAAAACAGGGAATTTTTACTAGGATTAAATGTCAGGAATTGTGAAACTGAGTTTAAATGTATTTGGCTAAGGTGTATGTAAACTTCCGACTTCAACTGTAAATGAACATGCACAATGTAATCATGTACAGTGGGGAGAACAAATATTTGATACACTGCCGATTTTGCAGGTTTCCTACTTACAAAGCATGTAGAGGTCTGTAAATTTTATCAAAATCACATTGTATGATTTTTAAGTAATTAATTTGCATGTTATTGCATGACATAAGTATTTGATCAACTACCAACCAGTAAGAATTCCGGCTCTCACAGACCTGATAGTTTTTCTTTAAGAAGCCCTCCTGTTCTCCACTCATTACCTGTATTAACTGCACCTGTTTGAACTCGTTACCTGTATAAAAGACACCTGTCCACACACTCAATCAAACAGACTCCAACCTCTCCACAATGGCCAAGACCAGAGAGCTGTGTAAGGATATCAGGGATAAAATTGTAGACCTGCACAAGGCTGGGATGGGCTACAGGACAATAGGCAAGCAGCTTGGTGAGAAGGCATCAACAGTTGGCACAATTATTAAAAAATGGAAGAAGTGCAAGATGACGGTCAATCACCCTCGGTCTGGGGCTCCATGCAAGATCTCACCTCGTAGGGCATCTTGATCATGAGGAAGGTGAGGGATCAGCCCAGAACTACACGGCAGGACCTGGTCAATGACCTGAAGAGAGCTGGGACCACAGTCTCAAAGAAAACCATTAGTAACACACTACGCCGTCATGGATTAAAATCCTGCAGCGCACGCAAGGTCCCCCTGCTCAAGCCAGCGCATGTCCAGGCCCGTCTGAAGTTTGCCAATGACCATCTGGATGATCCAGAGGAGGAATGGGAGAAGGTCATGTGGTCTGATGAGACAAAAATAGAGCTTTTTGGTCTAAACTCCACTCGCCGTGTTTGGAGGAAGAAGAAGGATGAATACAACCCCAAGAACACCATCCCAACCGTGAAGCATGGAGGTGGAAACATCATTCTTTGGGGATGCTTTTCTGCAAAGGGGACAGGACGACTGCACCGTATTGAGGGGAGGATGGATGGGGCCATGTATCGCGAGATCTTGGCCAACAACCTCCTTCCCTCAGTAAGAGTATTGAAGATGGGTCGTGGCTGGGTCTTCCAGAATGACAACGACCCAAAACACACAGCCAGGGCAACTAAGGAGTGGCTCCATAAGAAGCATCTCAAGGTCCTGGAGTGGCCTAGCCAGTCTCCAGACCTGAACCCAATCTTTGGAGGGAGCTGAAAGTCCGTATTGCCCAGCGACAGCCCCGAAACCTGAAGGATCTGGAGAAGGTCTGTATGGAGGAGTGGGCCAAAATCCCTGCTGCAGTGTGTGCAAACCTGGTCAAGACCTACAGGAAACATATGATCTCTGTAATTGCAAACAAAGGTTTCTGTACCAAATATTAAGTTCTGCTTTTCTGATGTATCAAATACTTATGTCATGCAATAAAATGCAAATTAATTACTTACAAATCATACAATGTGATTTTCTGGATTTTTGTTTTAGATTCCGTCTCTCACAGTTGAAGTGTACCTATGATAAAAATGACAGACCTCTACATGCTTTGTAAGTAGGAAAACCTGCAAAATCGGCAGTGTATCAAATACTTGTTCTCCCCACTGTATGTCAAATATGTACGTTGAAAACACTATGTTAAAAGTGCTCAGTGAGTTTCCCTAACCTTGTAAACAGACAAATAGAGAATCAAAGCCCTGTTTGGTTAACCACTGGTAAGTGGTTCACTAATCAGAGCTTTGATTGGCTCGCCAACAGTAACAAGGCGTGATGTGTTCTTTGGTTCCATCAGGCGACGTCCTGACAACTGATACCAGATATGTTATTTGCAACGATCCCATGAAATGTGTCTATGACATTAATATCTTATGTTCTTAGATCATGGCAACCATGTTTGGGGTATGTTTGGTGGGATG